GTAATCCATCCAGTTCTGCTGTTCTAGTGTGTGTTAGTTGCTCATTCTGACTCATGGCCACCTATGGTATAATAGAACAGTTGTTGGTATGTTTGAGTCCATTGTTGAAGATGTGTTTAAAATATAGTTTGTGTATTTCTTCTGTACCACTTCATCTAGGAATCCTGAAATGTGACATTGTGCCCATATATATTTAGATTTTTTTATTCCTCTTGGCTGTACAGTGGATTCAAATGCAGAGTAATCTACAGAACCAAGTAGGACTGCCCCATAGGGTTTCCCAGACCTAGTGTAGCCTATAGGATAAGCTCTGGTCTGCTAACTACAAGGTCTGGTTCAAACCCACCATCCACTCCTCAGAAACCCTACAGGGTTCCTATGAGTCAGAACCAACTGGGTGGCACTTAACAACACCAACAACAACAATATTTACAGAAACGGACTACTACATCCTTCTTTAGCTCTCCTGTTACTCAAGGAATACTCTTGCAGGATAGTCCCCTATTTATGGTAGATATGTCTAGCTTGGACTCCTGGTGTGGTGCTGTGGGCTAATGTGTCAGACTGCAAAGTCATTTGAACTGCAAGGTTGGTGGTTCAAGCTGTACAGGGTTTCCAGCTACTCCTTGGAAACCCTGTACAGGGTTGCTATGGGTCAGAATCGACTCGACGGCGCTTAACAACAGCAACAACTTCTGGCTTGTCCTTCCACATAAAAAGTGTTCAAATCTTTTTATTAGGTTCTCTACACTGATGTGACACTTTAGCATAAACACTGGACTGCAATTCACTCCTCAGAAACTATACAGTGTTGCTATGAGAAAGATCTGTGACACTTACCACTAGTGAAAGGAGCCCCAGTTAGCGTGGCAACAATTATGAGGTTGGCCCAGGATTGGGCAGTGTTTCATTCTGTTGTGCATAGGGTCGCTATGAGTTGGTACTGACTCAGTGGCACCTAACAACAACAACAACGTAGTGGATTATGAGCTGAGCTGCTCACTGGAAGGTCACTCATTTGAATCTACCAGCTGTTCTGAGGGAGAAAGATGAGGCTTTTTGCTCCCATAAAGATTAAGGAAGACCGTGGAAGCATTGATGCATTTGAGTTATGGTATTGGAGGAGAATATTGAAAGTACCATGGATTTCAAGGACAAACAGATCTGTGTTGGAAGTAGTACAGCCCGAATGCTCCTTAGAAGCCAGGATGGCGAGACTTCTCTCATACTTTGTGCATATTATCAGGAGTGACCCTGGAGAAAGGACATCATGCTAGGTAAGTCAGAGTCAGTGAAAAATAGGAAGACCTCCAACTAGATGGATTGGCACAGTTAGCAGCAACAATAGGCTCAGACTAACAAGGAGTGTGAGGATGGCGCAGGAGGTCCTGGCAGGGTTTTGTTCTGTTGTGCATAAGGTTGCTATGAGTCGTAACTGACTTGATAGCGCTTTACACGGCCCAGGATCGGGCAGTGTTTCGTTCTGCTGTGCATAAATTCGCTATGAGTCGGTACCGACTCGATGGCACCTAACAACCACCACCACCACCTTCATTAACGAAGGAGTCCTGGTGGTTATGTGAATTAAGTATCAGGCTCCCACTTTGTGGGAGAAAGTTGAGGTTGTCTTCTCCCATAAAGATTTACATATCCCATAAAGATTGTCTCAGAAACCCAAAGGCACAGTTCAGCTCTGTCCTCTATTGGGTCCTATGAGTTCCAGTCAACCCAGTTGCAGTGGGTGAGGCTCTGTTAATGTAACACTTTTCTGCTATCCCTCAGGCTATTTCAGATTGTCTTTTTTTTTTTTTTTTTTTTTTTTTTAATTAAATGTTTTTATTTTGGATTGAGTGAAAGTTTACAGGGCACATCATCAGTTTCACATTCAACCATTCATATAGCTTGTTTCATTACACTGATTATTATCCCCTCCATATATCATCAGTTAACAGTGTTTCTCTCTATTCTCTTTAGCTTTTTTTGGGGGGGTGGGGGGTAGGGGAGAACTTGCCTTTTTGGAATTTACAGTCTCGGCTTTTAGGGAAGGTTTTTACATTTGTCTGTGGATATCCAGGGCTCATGTATGAGATTACTAACAAGCATTACTGAATAATCAGATGAGGGACAGTTTGCTATGTCTACTAGGTAGCTAAAGTCTGATCCTCAGAGCCTATGGTTTGGACGGTCAACAACGCTTGGGCCCACAGGGTCTTGATCTCCTGACCGGGTCTACACTGTCTGCATCAGATTCCCCCTTATTTATTGTTTGTCTTAGGCGGTCAGTGTGAATTCCTCAGTCTTACCCGTCATCGAAACTCATTGCAGCATGGCAATGGCTCTGTCTTAGGTTGCCGAGGTTCCACGTGATCCTTACCCGTCTGTGGCCACACGTCCAGCATAAACAGCCGCCATCCGAGGAAGGCAGGGAGGGAGGAGTTCGGCTGGGGACCCCATACGCAAGACGTTGCCAGCCCACCACCTGCTCTAAGGTGACCAAGCAGGATCACTATGCTGAGGTTCAATCAAGTTCTTAGGGGATCTTACTCTCTAGCAGGGGTAGCAAATTAATAGCCTCTCAGTGCTCACTTTGAGAATTACTTATATCATAAATTTGAGCATGTAGCTGATGAATATCCACAGACAAGTGGATATTATTCCACAACCTCCTAAAATGCTGTTGGATTAAGTTCCAATCAAGTTCTGGATTACTGAAAGATAACACAAATCTATTTATACCATGAATAACCTTAGCTGGGAGTGTAATCTGGATATATTGGGTCTTATTTCCCTTAAGCGATCTTCCTTTCTCTAAAGCATTTAGTCTGTTTTGTAAACCTTTATCTATATACTCTTGGATCATATGAGCGAGACTAGTATCCCTAGACAGTTGATTTACATGGTGGGCAGGGCAAAAAAAGGTAACAATTCCTATTAGTGCAGTGATTCTTGACATGAGAGTAAAGACACATGGCACGTTTAAGGGTCAGGCATCAGATTGTCTTTTGACAGCGACTTTTCTTTACCTTAAACCATAGTTGCTTAGCATCATCAGATGTAAAATTATATTGCACAAAGTTAATATACCAGTATATAGCCTATCATAATTAAGAAATGGACTCTGGAATTAAATTGCCCGAGAGACCCACTTGGTGATGGTGGTGGTGATGATGGGTATGTGCCGAGGAGTTGGTTCCGGCTTACACCCTATGTAGGGTCTCTGAAGCTGTTAATCTTTATGGGAGCAGAAAGCCTCATCTTTCTCCCTTGGAGCAGCTGGTTGATTAAAACTATTGACTGTGTATGCTACCCTGTACCATTTGTGTATACGAGTAGTATCCGGGTTCTGAGTGAGCGCCATACCTAGTTGTGTCTTTAAGAATTGTTAGGTAAGCCTAAACAAGTATTTGTTATTGTTGTTAAGTGCTGTTTAGTTGGTTCCAACTCATAGTGACCCTGTAGAGGGTTTCTGAAGAGAGTAGCAAGTGGGTTTGAACCACTGACCTTGTGGTTAGCAGTACAGTGCTTATCCCACAGTGCCATACCAGGACTCCAACACAAGTTATATAAGGTTTTAGAGCCCAGGTAGTGCTGTGGGCTAGGAGTTGGACCGCTAATGAAAAGATTGGTGGTCCAAACCCACCAGCTGCTTCAAGGAAGAAAGATGAGACCCCATAGGGTCACTGTGAATCAGATTGACTGGATGGCAGCGAGTTATTTCTGGTTTCACCTGGAAGCCCTCCGAAAGATTTAAAAGCTGCATGTGCAGCGAGTGGAGTGGTGATTGTGATGAATTTGAGTTGAGGAATAGAAAGTTTCAAAGTGAGGGCAAGTCTACAAATCTACATCGTATTAAAGGGCAAGTAGAAGTCCTGAGTTCCACAGCAGGGGCTGGACCGCTCTGCGTGTTGTTTTGAGTGAATGTTATCTCTGAATGAATTAATGTCTCTGTGACTCAGTTGGATTTTTTTTTTTTTTTTAATCTGTTAAAGTGTATTAACAAGAACATTGTTAACTATAGGATTGTAAGAAAAAAAATGAGAGCCTGCATATAATATAAAGCACTTAGAATAACAAGAGGCCTTAAGTCAATGTTAACTTTAAGTACAAAAAATAAGTATGTTCTTCATGATGATTAGTATTTTCTTTGTAGTTTGGACTCTGGCATTTGGATAACCATAAACTTCAAAGAACAGTGTAAAATGACTGTTAGAATCATTTTCTTTAGAGAGAAAACCTTAGCTGTAAGAGAAAGGTTAAAACATTCTCAGAAAGTTTTCTTGTGAGTTAAATGTATGCCAGTTAAAAAAAGGGTTAAAAGGTCATTATTAATTTTATTCAGATGCATGTTGTTGATTTTCGTTAAGTCGGTTCTGACCCATAGCGGCCCTGTGTAGGATTTCAGAGGAGCAGCTGTGGAGCTTGAACCACCGACCTTGAGATTCAAACTGACTTTGCTGTCCAGTGCATTAACCCACAGCACTATACCAGGACTCTAGGATTAGACAATTCTACCTATTTGAACTCATGAATAAAAAGCTTTGGTATAATATGTTAAATAAAGAGAGTTGTATATTAGAGCCACTTTGGTTAATGAAAATTCTTTAACGTAAATGCGTTGCTGCCTTCTGATAAATGATAAACTCTGTGCTGGTGTTGCGCTGTTGGTTAATGTGCTGGACTGCGTAGTAAGTTTGAACCGTAAGGTCGATGGTTCAAGCTCACTAGTTGCTCTTCGGAAACCCTATACAGGGTCGTTGTGGATTGGAACCGACTCGACGACACTTAACAACAACAGATAGCATTTAATCAATTTTATAATATGATTTAATCTGAATTAATGATACTACTTTTTCTAACTTTCTTTACCTCTTGGCTTTTTCTCTGTAGATAAAGTTTTATGTTAACTTGTTACATACTGAACCCTTGCTTGCTCCTCCTCTTTAGTCTCCTTCCAACTTTGTCTTGATTTCTGCTGAGGTTATATTCTATTTGTTTTTCAGATGAGACACTCTTTGCTCTTCCTGCTGCATCTGAGCCTGTGATGCACTCCTCTGCAGGCAAGTTCTTTTCTGCTGGCCTTTTTATCCTCTGTATTCGCACTTTAACTCTTTAGTGTGTCCTTAGCTCTGTGCAGAGTAGTTTGCATTTACTAAAAAAAAATTAGCATAGTTCCAAGAATGTTTGTCACCTGCAGAACTTGAAATTTACATTTTATATGCTATGTCCAAGGGAGAGATGGGCACAAGCTAAATAACAATTGGAATTATATAAGGAATTCTTGAACTCTTGATATACATTTAAAGGATGACCATTTCTTGTCTCGAATAGTTTACTCATAATTGAAAGGCTTTCCATGTAAATGCATGCCAGTTTATGGCACTTAATTATATAATCTCTTCTTCTCTACACGTTAGACTATTCTTCCTCCAAAACTAGTTAAATTATACACTCAGTCATGAGGCTTTCTCAAAGACTTGATACATGTGTTTGCATAGCATGTAATTGCCTCTGTAGCCATGTGCATGCTTATTGACAACAGCTTAGGGTTCTTTCAGTAATGATTTCGATCTACTTAAGTGTTGTTTATTAAGTTGTTAACATTTCATGTTAGTTAACACTAAGTCTTTACTAACATAGTTTTAAGTCTGTCATAAAACTTGCATTAACTCTGAGAAAACTGGCATTCTCTAACTTTCCTTTCTGTCCATGGTCACAGAAAAATGTATGGACTTGAAGGAGCAGCCAGGTAACACTGTTTCGGCTGGCCAAGAGGATTTCCCATCTGTTCTGCTTGAAACTGCTGCTTCTCTTCCTTCTCTGTCTCCTCTCTCAGCTGCTTCTTTTAAAGAACACGAATATCTTGATAATTTATCAACAGTAATACCCACCAAAGAAACACTTCAAGAAACTTCAAATGCAGCTTCTAAAGAGTTGTTAGAGAAGTCAAAAAACCCATTTTTAGATAGAGATTTAACAGAGTTTTCAGAATTGGAATATTCACAGATGGGATCATCATTTAGTGGCTCTCCAAAAGCAGAGTCTGCCATCAAAGTAACAGACCCAAGGGCAGAAGTAATTGTGAAGAATAAAGATGAAGAAGAGAATTTAGTTAGTAATAACATCCTTCATAATCAACAAGAGCTACCTGGAGCTATCACTGAATCAGTTAAAGAGGACAGAGTTCTTTCTCCAGATAATACAAAGGATAGTGATGAAAAAGGAATTTCAGTAGGATTTCAGGGAACTCCTATGAGGGAAGAATATGCAGATTTCAAACCATTTGAGCGAGTGTGGGAAGTAAAAGATACTTGTAATGAAGATAGTGGTTTGGTGGCTTCTGGGAATAAGAGAGAGAGCAAGATGGAAAGTAAAATGACTAAGAAATATTTTACAGATAGCCTTGAACAAATAAATCATGAAAAAGACAGTGAAAGCAGTAATGATGATGCTTCTTTCCCCAGTACACCTGAAGCTATTAAAGGTGGCTCAGAGGCATATATCACATGTGCTCCTTTTAACCCAGCAGCAACCAAGAGCACTGCAATAAATGTGTTTCCTTTGTCAGAAGATAACACTTTAGAAAATAAGACAGATGAAAAGAAAATAGAAGAAAAAAAGGCCCAAATTGTGACAGCAAAGAACACTAACATCAAAACGTCGAATCCTTTCTTTGTAGCAACTCAGGATTCTGAGACAGACTATGTCACAACAGATAACTTGTCAAAGGTGACAGAAGAAGCAGTGACAAATATGCCTGAAGGTCTAACCCCAGATTTAGTACAGGAAGCATGTGAAAGTGAACTGAATGAAGCTACGAGTACAAAAATTGCTTATGAAACAAAAATGGACTTGGTCCAGACATCAGAAGCTGTACAGGAGTCACTGTACCCTGCAACACAGCTTTGCCCGTCGTTTGAGGAAGCTGAAGCTACTCCTTCTCCTGTTTTGCCTGACATTGTTATGGAAGCACCATTAAGTTCTATAGTTTCTGGTGCTGGGACTTGTGCAGTCCAGCTCAGTTCATCACCATTAGAAGCTCCTCATTCAGTGACTTACGAAAATGTAAAACCTGAGTCTGAAAATCCCCCACCATATGAAGAGGCCATGAATGTCTCACTGAAAAAGACATCTGGAGTAAAGGATGAAGTCGAAGAGCCTGAAAGTCCCAGTGCAGCTTCTCAAGAAACAGAAGCGCCTTACATATCTATTGCTTGTGATTTAATTAAGGGAACAAAGCTCTCTACTGAACCAACTTCTAATTTTACTAATTATTCAGAAATCGCAAAAAGTGCACAGCCAGTGCCCGATCATTCTGAGCTAGTTGAAGATTCCTCACCTGATTCTGAGCCCGTTGACTTATTTAGTGATGATTCGATACCTGAAGTTCCTGAAAAGCAAGATGAAGCTATGGTGCTTGTGAAAGACTATCTCACCGAAACGTCATGTGCACCAATGATAGAGCATGAAAATAAGGGAAAACTTACTGCTTCACCACAAGAGGGGGTAAAGCCATATTTAGAATCTTTTCAGCCCAATTTAGAGTCTTCAAAAGATACATTAGCACCTGATGAAGGTTCAGCATTGACCAAAAAGGAGAAAATTCCTTTGCAGATGGAGGAGCTCAATACTACAGTTTATTCAAATGATGGCTTATTTATTTCTAAGGAAATGCAAGTAAGAGAAAGTGAAACATTTTCAGATTCATCTCCCATTGAGATTATAGATGAGTTCCCTACCTTTTCCGGTTCTAAAACTGATTTTTCTCCTCAATTGGCAAGAGAGTATACTGACCTAGAAAGATTGTGCAAAAGTGAAATTGCTGATGTCCAGGATAGAGCTGGGTCATTGCCTTGCTCAGAATTACCCCATGACCTTTCTCTCAAGAATATACAGCCTAAAGGTGAAGATAAAATCCATGTCTCAGATGAATTTGCCAAAGACAGGTCTGATATATCAAAGGTACCCTTACTGCCTCCAGCTGTTTCTGCTTTGGCCACTCAACCAGAGATAGGCAGTGTAGTCAAACCCAAAGTTCTTGTGAAAGAAGCTGAGAAAAAAATTTCTTCTGATACAGAAAAAAAGAACAGATCACCATCTGCTATATTTTCAGCAGAGCTGAGTAAAACTTCAGGTAATCAACCCATACACTGTTTAGTGATTTCTAACTACCTTTTAACTTATCATGGACCATTTCCTATGTTTTGTGTAATATGTTACATTTATATAGTATGGAATAGGTTGCATTGATTAAGAATCCTTTTCCACAATCTCAGGTGAAGATTTTAGTGCTTTTCTATTCTTCTTTCTCTTAATTGTTCTTTGGTGACTTATACTGCACCATGGAACTAAAAATATTTTAAAAGTGAAATTGCATTTTTTAAAATCAGTGTATCTTGATAGCATGAAGAACAAGAAGTATTAAAGGAAAATATTTTCAGATGTTTTATTAGAAATTATTTTATTTTTTATTTATAAAAGGATTTCTGTAACATTGAAAAGATGCTGAATATAATGTATTATTTTCCAATGATAGGTATAAGGTTAGGTAGACAATTTGAAAGTGAGTAGTAGACAATTTGAAAGTGGAAATTTACATATATTGTGAACTCCTGAAAAGTACTAAATCTCATTTTTCTTTGTGACTCTACATTTCCCATGTACCTGCTTTGCTTAAGGTGATTTGCACATGAGGTTTTTATTTAGCATTCTAATTTAGCTGTGTTTTCTATGGAAATTCCTTGAGTTCTGTGTATTTACTCAGTATAGTTCTGTTATTGTTAACTGCTGTCAAGTCACTTCTGACTTATAGTGACCCTGTATAAGATTTCCAAGGAGAGGCTGGTAAGTTTGAACTGCTGACCTTGTGGTGCAAACCGACCTTGCAGTACAGTGCTTTATCCTGTAGCGCCACACATGAGTAGTTACATATTGCAGATGAGTAGCACTGGTGGCAGGGAGACCGGTTTAGAGATTGTTGCTGTAATTTAAGAAAGAGATTTTGAACATTGAGGCAGTGGGGTAAACATGGAGACATAGGACTTGGTTTTTGAAGTGGGTATAAAAGTGAAGGGTAAGAGGAGGAATCAAAGCTAACTCTAGGAATCCAGGTTCCTGGCATGTGCTAACGCATGGGTGGCAGTACAAGAAACTGAAAGTGGAGAATAACGTGGATTATGGATATTATATATATGAAGCTATTCAGAGAGATCTTGACTTTATGTGTATATTTGTCATAGGCTTGGAGATAGTAATTAAAAACCTCTGACATCATCTAGGGAGTGCCAAAATAAAAGATTTAAGAATGGAAGAAATGGTGAACATTATTAAATACCAGAGAGGTTAGTTAAGATAAGGATGGAGAGTTTTTCAACAACAAAGGAAGGAATTGGTTAATGGTGGTGAAAAATCATTTACATCTACTGTGGTGCTCTAGGATCAGCACTGGACTGTTAATCACAACGATGGTGGCTCAAAGCCACCAGCTACTCCTCAGAAACCCTGTACAGCGCCCCTGGGAGTCAGAACAGATTTGAGGACACTTAACAACGAGGGGAGAGTGGGCAGGGGTAGGATTGAGCAATGAATAGGGCTTAAAAATGGACACGAAATGTTGCGAACCCTTAGAAATTTAACTGAGAACCTTGTAGAGAAAGCAGGGGTTTCTAAGAGAACTTTTTTTTTTTTTTTTAATATGGGAGCAGAAGTCTAATTTAAAGGTGCTAGTAGAATCGGGCTGCGAACCTTAAGGTCAGCGGTTCGAAACTACCAGTCGCTCCGCGGGAGTAAGATGAGGCTTTCTACTCCTGTAAAGATTTACACCCTCGGAAACCCTGTACAGGGTCGCTATGGGTCGGAACCGACTCAACGGCACTTAACAACAACAGCAAGTAGAACCATGCAGTGGCATAGTGGTTACTAACAGGGCTGTGAACCGCAAGGTCAGCAGTTCGAAACTACCGGCTGTTCCATGGGAGAAAGATGAGACTTTCTGCTCCGGTGAAGATTTATAGCCTTGGAAACTGACTCCATGGTACTTTACCACCACCAGTAGAACCATGAGGTGATGGGATGAGATCCAGAGTTCATGGAGGAATTACCCTTAGAAAGGAGGAAGGATACAGCTTTGATTGTAGTGAATGGAAAAGAAAGGTGTTGAGGCTGCTGGGCTTTTGTGGCTGGAAGTTGAGGAAATTGTTTGGCCTTTGTTTCTTTTTAAAGCAGTGTGTTAGGTCAGAGCTTGAAGGGGAGAGGACTAAAATACCTTCTGTCTCGGGGAAACAAAGACATTATAGTAAGAACCCAGTCCATGTCTATGGTCTGTGTGGTAAGGTGACTTTTCTTTGTACTCAAAGCCTAGGAACGGGGTTCAGAGAAAGTGCATGGTTGTATTTATTCAAGATTGGATTTTTCTAGATGAGCCCAGTAGGAGTACTGTGAGTAAAGGGAGTTGAGGATAACAGGAATGTGGTTAGAGTAAGATTACGAATGATTTTTTGTGTGTATGATGTCGAATTTAGAATTTAAGAAGAGTAAGACGTTTAACTTGATATTATGTCTGGAGTATGGTCCTGGGGTGTAAGGGAAGGCAGCTGAAGTGGAGTGAGGTGAAATTTGCTAGAGGTGAAGCCAGAGAACTAGGAGACTAAGATGCCGTGTAGACATTGACGATGGCAAGCCTTGAGGATGGAGAGGAACAGGAGAATCCAGGTTACCAGTTTTCAGTAAAGTAACAGTAAGGCAACTGGCAGGATGGTAGATGGAAACATTAAAGAAGGATAGAGAATGAACTGGCTGAATAGCCAAGACTTGCCCAAGGACTGTGAAATAATAGTCTGGAAATAACTAGACGGACTTTGGCCTCACTTCCATTTCTGAGGTATGTAACATATAGGAGAGTGAGCAGCCTCCATTTTGAGATTTCCACAGAGATAGCAGGAAGGAGCCAGATTTTAGTGAAGGGGGCAAGTGATGGAAGGAATGTTCAGTAATGAGGTTTGAGGATTAGTGCGCCTGGCTTGGTGTGGACTGGAGAGGTTCAAACAGGACAGTAAAAGGGTTTCGGTGGGAACAGTAGAACGTAAAGGACCATGGTGATGATGGTGTATGTAGGTGAAGACCACGAATAAGTAGCACTGTGAGACTGTAAAGTCTGTCTCTCCACTCTTCACCCTAACACACTCTCTCAAGACTTAATCCTAGTATTTGCCTATTAGATGGGCCACTCAGGTGTTTCATGTAACAGCTATTTTGAATATGTCATTCCTGGTATGTTGAACCAAAATGATTGGTTGAACCTGGTATAATTGATTCAAAATGGCCGCTACCAGTCCATTACAGCTCACTGTTCTTAAGTGCTGTCCAGTCCTTTCTGACTCAATCATGTGTAGGGGTTCTGAGGATCAGCTGGTAAGTTTCATTAACCGCCCTTGCAGCTCAAACTGACCTTGAGGTCCAGTGCTTATCCTACAGCGCCACACCAGGATTCCTTCAGCTCACTAATGCCTAGGATATTAATGTTTCTGCATTCATTACATTTTTTGACAACTGCCAGTTTTACTAGGTTCAGACTTCATATATTCTATGTTCTGATTATTAATGGATTTTTACAGCTGTTTCTCCTCATTTTGAATTGAGCCCCGTTGGCAAATGACTGTCCCAAAAGCTTGGTCACCATGGTCAACTCTACTTGGAAGAGGCAGCTCCTCCCCAGTCTGTGAATCTGAATTACGTTCTTTGAATCTGAGGGACCAATCTTGCAGCACTAACTATGTAACTCGATATGGATATATAAAAATGCATCCTTTTTTTTTTTAACCTGCCACCACCACCACCCCACCCCACCACCCCCTGTTCCCCACCCCCTGCCCAAATAATCTGAAACCAGGTCTCTACGTAGATTCATTCAGATAGAGATACTCTCTTAATGGTAACCTCAGTGTGTAGGTATCAACTTCGTAAACTCATTTTGATAAAATATGTCTTTGTTTTCTGCCATCTGTATTCCAATTTATTGGTTGACCTAATCATGTCCTCTATTGCATATTTTCTCCCACTAGTACAAGATTCACTTCAAGGTCAGGTATTGAATTAATTATGCCCTTTGACCCCTTTAGTCTGGGAAATTTCCAGCCTTTGTCATTTATGACATTAACCTTTCTGAAGATATTTCTTAGTGAATAGACTGAAGTTAAGGATTCATGGTTGAAATAATGCTGTAGATTGTGTGTGTCTTTCCCCTGGTATGTTACTGCTCTCCGAAAGTCTCTCATTGGTCAGGTAAATGTTTTGGTCATTTGGCCAGTGTGGTCCTTGATTTCTTATTTGTATAATTATGGTCGGGTTTTTTTGTCACTCTTTGCAGTATGAGAGGTGACACTTTAAGACCATGCAAATATCCTGCTCCCTGTCAAAATGGCCTGTGTAAATTTAGTATTCATCAATGATTCTTGCTCTATTCAATCTTTACCACCCATGATGATTACAAAATGTTAGGTTTTTTTTTAAGCTCGAATACTCGTACCACATTTGTCAGTTGACTCTCCCTTTCTATTTATGCATGTATGTATTATCAGTATTATATTCTCCTTATGTGATCTTCCATATGTGAAGGGATGTCAGACCTAGTGTAGCATTCTGTGACTACTGTGTGGAGAGTGAATAATCCTCTTGGGGTAGACAGTTGCTCTCTGTTTGTTGTTGGTAGTTCATTGGTAAAGAAAATTTATTATGTCTGTTCAAATCACTAAGATCGTATTGATAGTGATTGTTTAACATGTTGGTCTTGCTGGGTTGCCACTACTGCAGAGTATTTTCAATTCATAATCAGGATGTCGAAAGTATCTTACTAACTTACTAATACCATTGAAGAGTAAAGTATAAACCAACCACAAAAGTTCTTTATTTATTCATTATTCTTAAACTACATGATATCTGGGATTAACTATGTATGTCCAGGTGTGATATGCTGTAGGATAAGTACTGGACTGCTAACTGAGTGGTCCTTGGTAAGCCTATACGGGGCCACTATGAGTCAGAAATGACTCTCTGGCTCTTAACAAGTGTATAATAAAGAACTCACTTAAAAAGAATCCATTTATCTAGGTAAAGAATTAAAAATTAAGTTGCAGGTTT